AATTTTAATAACTCACCACAGCCGTCGTATAATGTGGGGCCGGTCGTTTTATGCCCGTCGTAAAGCACTTTACAACTCGGTTCAATAAAAAAACAATTCAACAATTCCTCCGTCGGGATCAATAACGGATGAAAGCTGATTGGACCGGGCTTCGCCAATCGGGATTAGTCGCAGTGTCCGAGGGGATGGATTTTGCGGATTCTGCGCCCTGGAATCGGCGATTCCATTGGTTCCGCCGCGATCAAGGGGGTTGTAACATTTTATCAGGATGCAACTTTACTAGATATAAATGCTCCAAGTAGCAGGAACTCTTGCACCAAATAAAATAAAAAAAAAGATGACGGCGACTTTTGTCGTGTTCTTTTTAGCGATATATATTTTACCACGACGTACATACAATGGAGCTTTCCCGAACATCGAGAAAATTCTGGTCGTGTACTTTTTTTAATTGATATATATAGGTTACGAAAAAAGTCACTCCAAGTCTGCGACAGCTAAAGCGATACCGCGAACATTTATTCAATGGCGCATTTTGAATGCGCGTCTGTTCGTCGGAAAATGCAAGAAGCAGAAAATGAGAACACTTGCATAAAAGAGTAGAGTGAAATAAGGTCAACGATGGATAGATAAAATAAAAGAAAGAAATAAAAGTGCCGTTTTTCTTCTATTAAGTGAAATCTAGAATTCTTGCTAGAATCTTTGCTAGGAAAATATTGTTTATTATTATCCTTAATTAATACTTTAATTAATACTTTAATTATCATGTCATTTATATCTGAATGAGGCATAAAATTTACGAGAAACTTGAGTCGTCACTTTTATTTGGATGATTTTATTTATTTGATCAAGAATATTGTTTTTATTAAATATTTAAGAGTTAAAAAAAACAATATAAATTATATTAAGAAATAAAGAAAGAAATTTTTAAATGATGTATCAGTTAGATTTATTAAATTCATTTTTCTGAAATTAGCTTAGCAAAGTGTTAAGTAGCGTGTTACTTAATTTTCTTGGATCTTGGGTGTTTCTATATAATTGCGTGTGAATTAATTACTACACGTATGTAGATTTTTAATTAAGCGCCGAATTTTTTTCTCAGATTCGAAACGCAAATTCTACTAAACTACCGCAGTAGTATCATGAGTTAATGTGACTAACAATTTAACAATTCTTTATGCTCTTTATGCATCTTTCATTTATAACACAAAGTCGACTGATTTGGACCACACATTGTCGCTTATATTTACTTTGTGTAGAAAAATTTTTTAATATAAACTCGGAGATAACTTTACGCAATTGCTAATGTATAACAAATATTCTTTATTATAAAAGATAAGATATTTGCTTATCTTTTATAATAAAGAATATTTGTTATACATTAGCAATTGCGTATATATAAAGTTATCTGCGCCTGACTCTTTATAGTGCCCTTTCTCTCAGAGTTTATATTTGATTTATACAGGAGTTTTTGTTATTAATTTATTATAAGTTTTAAAATTTTTTAATCTGTATAAAGGCTATTGGAATAACACTTATTATTTAAAACATAAAAAGGAAAAAATTAGCCTATCTGAGCCGTCACAAGTTGTTTTTTGTGTACAAAGATTATATTGTTCAATCCAAATAAAAATACAGACGTTTCAACATCAAATTATGTCCTCTTCAAGTATAAATTGTATTAATACAGAAATTATATGAATTAATGAGTGTCAAGTTACAATAAAATAATTTTCGTCAAAAATAAAGTCATTGTTAACTAAAATTGTTCTTTCCATCTGTAGTATCTAGTTAGATACTCAAACTATAATGGAAGTCACTATAATAAAGTTGAAAAATGAGCAATAGTTCAAAATTAATTCTTTAAACTTGTCAAAATAATAAATTTAAGACTTACTTAAGAACAATTTTACGATGCTCCTTAACAATTAGAATCAAGAACGGTCTATCCATGTTGAGAATTCATATGTAAGTGAGAGATCAAAGATAATCGAGAAGTATATAATAAAAATAAAGTCAAAATAAAAATGAAAACATAATAAGATAAAAATATAAAAGTGTAAAGAATGGGAGAGACATATATTTATATACAAAGAATGTCATGATATAAGGGATCTAAATCGATGTCGCTTTGTATATTTAAACCGTTACTTTGTTTTTTAATAAAAATGGCTTCTGAGATCAATCGTCTATTGAGAACTTTTTCTTCATCTAATATTTCTATTTCTTCCCAATTAAAATCGTGGTTATAATCTAATCTGTGTTCCACGATTGAGTTTTGCTCCGTATTTTTATTAATGTGACTACGATGTTTATTAATTCTAGTTTTTAACAGGCGTTTCATCTGACCAATGTGTGATGCACTGCAATCTTGTTTATTTTATAGACTACATTAGATTGTGATTATAAAAGAGTTTAATTTGTTCATACCCACGTATACCAATCTAATCGCTCGATTATTTAAAAAAAATTTTTTTAATCTTTCAGTGATCGACGGAACATATGATATGGTAAAAAATTGTTTTTTACCGTTTTCCACTGATAACTCACTATCATTTCCTTTCGTATCATCTTTATTCAATTGCTGGAATCTTTTTTTTAAATATTTATTTATTTATTATTTGAAAAATAACCGGTAAAACACAGATGACTTCAGACTTCTCTTAAAGAAATTTTGGGACAAATACCGAATCTTGATTCGGTGATAAATTACAATTTCATTTTTATTTGCTTGTATAATTTTGTATAATTATTAACAGCAGGATCGACTTAAAATGGATTTTGAATAGAAAGAATAGTACTTTACAATAATATTGGTTAAAATTTTGATGAAGTTTCGGTAAATGTTTAATAAAGTAATAAAAATAGTCGAAACGCGTTATTTTTTCGACATAAAATCCAATTTATTTTGAAAAGAATTCGACGTGCTACGCAAATTCTACGACTACATTTGGATTCAACACGCAAAAATGTATAAGAAACCACTAAAAAACAATTTGATCCCTCCTCCCTCATTTTTACGTGTTGCAGGCTTGTGTGAAATCGATAAGCAAAACGTAATGTTATTATACATTACATAAAATGTAAAAATTTGTGGGAATTGAAATTGCGAAATTTGAGAAATCACGAAAATTAAGATTTTCAAAAAAATCAATACAAATATTCACAAATTTTTGTTAATAAAATTCTCATTAATTACTACAAAAATCGCAAAACTGAAAGATTTTTTTATTTAACATTATAATCAAAGATATATTAACGGCTTTAAGAATAAATCTAATAAAAAGAGGTAAGAAACCAATTAAGAGCCGCTGTATAAAAATTATTTTGAAAAACTAATGTGCAGACATTTCGACCAATATTTTCAGTCTTATTCAATGCTATATGAGCGAAGATAACATTGGGCTGTTTCTAATTCATAATGTCCAGTTAGTAGACATGAATCAATTGTTAGAGGAAACGATAAAATATTTTAAATATAAAGCTTTTAATATGTACAACTTTGAGTTATAAAAATTTAGTAATAAAAATAATCAATATAAATCAGAAAGGGCGATATAAGAATCAAACAATAAAATTTCATTTAAAAATAATACTAAACTGTTAGTACATTTAATTAAAATGTTAAAAGTAAAAAAATATATAAATATAAAAATTACTTAAAATTAAATACATATCGCTACAAGTTTCAGCTCTAGGTTTGAGCCCTCCTCAGACATTAAAAAACTTGTAGCGATATGTATTTAATTTTAAGTAATTTTTATATTTATATATTTTTTTACTTTTCAAATTTTAATTAAATGTACTGACAGTTTAGTATTATTTTTAAATGAAATTTTATTGTTTGACTCTTATATCGCCCTTTCTGATTTATATTGATTATTTTTATATTGAGAGTCCTTGTTTATTTTCATCTTATTTGTTTTTGTAATAAATTTATTTAGAATTGTACATAAAAGCTTAATATTTGAAATGTTTTATCATGTTGTCTAATAATTGGTTCATGTATTTACTAATTGGTATATTATACATTTACCTTAATATAAATAACGTAATTACTAAAATATATATAAATATATGTGAATCCTAACAAGATATAATTCTCATGCATTATAAACGCATAGAGCTTGTAGTATGGTCGTGTTACCGCAAAGGTGTAAATTTACGGAAAAATTAGAGACCTATCTAGTAGCAAGGTGTTATATGACAATAGTTAATTGACAGATTAATTACTGTATAAACGCTAGTTCTCTTACACAAATAAAAATTTTTGTTACTATACTATTTTTCAATTAAAAGTATTTCAAATATCCAGCCCTGCTGATAACCTACATTCTCAGATATTCAACATATAAAATATTTATGATAAAGCTCAATAAGTATTAAACAACTAATGTAATGAAATAATTGCCCTTATTTCATTATATTAGTTGTTTAATACTTATTGAGCTTTATCATAAATATTTAATTCACGCGGGCGAAATCAATGCGTTTAAATTTCAAGTAAATTAAGGGGACGTTATTTCAGATTATTAGAGTTGCGTTTCAAGACCGAAGATAGTTTGGCGCGCAATTTTGAAGGGAATTTTCAGATAAAGTTGCGTTTCAAGACCGAAGATTGTTCGGCGCGCAAGTTGTAAGGGGGGGGTGGGGAATACATATATTACTTTGAATAGTATATTGCGAAGAATATTACTACGTCGACCCCGCCATCAGAGGTCTATAGATATTCGCTAAGATTCTCGCAAGTGCTTTGATACGCGTATATATAGAATCTCGATTTAATAACTAAAACAGGCGTCTAAGGTAGACTTCCACTACAATGCCTTATTGATGAGTCCAGTAGTGGAAGTTGGGACGAAACGCCATAATTACGTGATATTCTTCGCAATATATTAGATTGATTTAAAGATTTTAACGAAAATTGGCTCATTGTCCTTATTTCAACATATAATTTTAAGTAATAAAGGACAAAAGAGAGAAAGAGAGTAATATATAAAAGATAGATTTATAATTTTGTATTTATTTCCTTGGAAAATTCGAATTATAAGCACAGAGAATTAAAATTTCATTCTGTGTGGATACTGACTGCTTCGTAATCCAAACATTGCCGACAGATATGTGAACAGCAACTTCTTATCTGAATGTTTCTTAATAGCATCAATCACCATTTTGTCAACTATTTTCTGGTCAGTCTTTCTCTGATCGCTCGCTTTATATTCTTCCTTCTTTTTACTGAAGATGTCACCTTCTTCTTTCTTGGCGCGCTTGTCACGTTTTCTTTTGAAATAATCATCATTAATGTGATCAGGTAATTTGACGCCTTTGACACTCAATTTCGTAGAGGTAGCGATCACGTAATTTTGACTAACTCTTCGCAAAGGACAGGCATTGATCAGGAATGGTCCTACAATAATTTGTTAATAATTATTATAGATTATAAATCTTGTTTTAATTTCATAAAGTGTCTAATTTCAATAGAGTATCTATATATTACACAAAATGTAAAATTTAGTAATAAACATAATATACCAGTAATCAAAAGCAAGCCACTCTTTAATTGTTTCAAGAAGACCACTCTCTTTCCTTTATGAGGACCAGCCAAAAGAATACAGATTGTTCCTGGTGTCAGAGTAGGTCTCAAATAACGCCGATGTTCATGGAAACACTTTTTAGCGTGATGCACAGTAACTCGATCAGCAGTAGGATAATTTGCGCGTCTTTTCTTCAAAAGTACAATACGCTTCTCTCCATTCTTGTCGCCACCAATTTGCTTTTCGACAGTCAATGGTTTCTTGGGCTTGACCTGTGGTAATGCATCAATAATATCAAATTTATATTTGATAATTTGGAAATATTGACATACAAAATATTATTGCTTAATTATTTATGATATGTTTCCAGCTTAAGAGTTATAGAAAAGGAATACTGAATACACTCAGGTAAAATCTCCAGCTTTAACAACAATATCGGTATTGTTATCATTGCACAAATAGTACACAAATCATGTAACCACAATGCAATAATACCAAACTGCCATTAAGAATTACGGAATAAAGATATAGACAATATTTTATTTTAAATTATCATTTTTTCTTATTTCAAATTTTTAGCAACACGGTTAAATAATATACCCTGAATTTTTGAACACACACTCCTGTAATAAGTTATTATGATTATTACTAATAACCATAATTCTAAATTACTCAGAAAACAAGACACCAATGTTGATACAATACTATAAAAATTTAAAACATGCATAATGTTCAACATTATATATAATTCATATTTAATTAATAATTACTACAATAAGCATGTTTCAAGAGACATTGAAAACATATTTTAACAGTTGTGGCTTGTAAAAATATACGGAACTCTTATTGAAGAAATTGAAGATTGATCTCTTCTTAAATAAATTAATCTGCCTCAAAATTAAATTTTAGAAAACTTACTTAAAAAAAAAAAAAAGATTTTTTTAGAGCAAAAAAGATTAATTTTTTAGGTAAATAAATGAAGATTGTATGCTTCTAATCTAATGTTTACTTTATAATTAAAAAAAAATATTAATTATCTAATATACTTTTTATATTAATATACTTTTTAATTAATAAGTAATTGCTTACCTTTTTTGGAGTTTTCTTCTCAAGAAATTTATAGATAGCCTTTTTGTGGAACATGCGAGTACGACTAAATCTGTAAACACCATTTCCTAAGTCATAATTCCTTGGCTTTCCTCTTGCAGGCTTTCCCTTGCTCTTTGCACCTTGTTTGGCTGTAGCTGGAGCAGCTGCAGCTGAAGCAGCTACAGCTGGAGTAGCTGCAGCCTTCTTCTGAGGAGTTTGGACTTTTGTGTCCACCATCTATAAAAAAAAAGGTAAATTACGTTTAATTAATAAAGAAACAAGTCTTTCTATATAGGCAATTAAATATATCTTGAAATTAGATACAATAAGTGTTTTTTTTTAAATGAACTTTTTGACCCGTTTATTTTTTTCTTTAATGTGAAGAGAAAAAGAAGAAAGATAAACCGTACATAAACTTTAATTAGAAAGAACAGGAATAATTATTTTATTGTTGTATACACAGCATCACTGTGGTTTAGAGGTTATATAAGGTTATGCTACCATGTTTCATGTGCAGAATATATACGAAAAGAAACAAACTTATTAGCAGTAATTCATAAATAGTTGACATTACAACTGATCTCTATATATAAATTCAAAAAGAGTAAAACATATTACTATTTATTTATAATTTAAAATATCAAACATAAAGAAAGCATATGTATACTTGTCGGAAAAACAAAATTAACTCTTAACATCGCGAAAATATAGCGTTGTTCGTAGAGATTAGATCCAAATTATATGATATTTAAGTACAAATTACAATATATTCTTCTTATAACAATCAGATTCCTTTGATTACATTTAATTAATCATCATATAAATATCTTACCGTAAAGCAAACAGCCAAAAGAACCAAAAGAACACGCTAACCACTACACCTATTAGAACAAATGTGAACTATGATCGATATAAGTATCGATGTAGAGCGAGATATATCGATAATAAAATACATTCCAAATCAATAAAAATAATCACATTTTCAAATTTCTCGCAAAATATAATCATTGCAATTACTAAATTATCGTAATAATGTTATCATAAATTTTAAAAATGATATTACCTTTATATACTCAGTAATGATGTGTGGGCTAAATGATCATTTTTTATTAACAATTAAAACAGTTATCAGTTATATAGGTGAGTAGTTGTACAACATAAATATTTATATATAAAGAAGAAAAAAAAGAATAACTAATAATATAAAAATAATAAGGAAACACAAATATAAAAACAATTGTTAAATTCTGTAACTGTAATAGTTACATTTTAGTAATATAGCAAGATAAAGACTCTTGAAAGGTCTCTAAGCAGCATCGCAGACGCTTCTACTGGCAAAAAAGATAAATAATAACTACTTAAACATTACTATTTACTTTTTATTTACTTATAAAATAAAATTTAAGACTTGATAGAAATAACCGTTTAATTTCGTTAACTATTATTTTTCAAATTTGATAAAGATTACTAAAGTTATTTCTTAATAACGGCTATTCAGTAACAAATAAAATAATATCCATCATAAACCTTGTAGTTATCTATTACTATGTCTTTTTCTTCGGATGTATGATAAAGGATTAAATTTAACGTGTATAAAAAGATAAAATCCATGTAACATAAATATTAATTATTCATTTTTTATTCCATTCTTCTTATATTCTTTATCTCTCAGATATATTTCCTCGTACAACTACAATATTCAATAAACTTTTACAAATGCAATGACGCAGGGGAATGACGAATTTAGAGATCTCTCTATTTCGCTCCCATACGCTATGTCGTAACTCTACTCATGCACCTTACACACGTACATACACTACTCAAAGGTCTTTTATCGTGTGGCGTTTAAAAACGCAGTCTCACTGTACACAATCATTTTTACACGACAGGGTAGAGATTGTAAAACATCTAAACGCTTATTCTTTCCACAACAGTAGTCTCCGAATAACTGATTGGCGACATAACACGTTACAAGAAACGCCATGTGATAAATCTCTTTTTGCTCCAAATGGCGCAGTTCGTAGTGGAATATCGACGACCTCAAACGTGACGAAGAAGTGACAATTCTTAAGAATAAAGAGTAATCCGTATATTCATGTACTAAATCTGTGATACAAACTATCGTACAAATATTTATACAGAAAGCTGCGTTGCAACGAGATTTCAATAATATAGTGATAGAGTAAAATGAAGAATTCATAAAAACGATGTGTGTGTAACGATGAATGTTTTGCGACGATTGACAAGTAAAAAAACTATATATTATATATATATATATATATATTTATATAACGATACAAAAAAAGATCGTGAGACATCTTTAATAACTCCCAGATTAACACATCCGTAAGTAACCTTCAACTTAATCATCTCTTCCAAACCCCATGTGCGCATTTTGTCAATATATGACAAGTGTAATATAGATTGCACAGCGTTAAACACATATTACACTGCGATGGAGATGGTTTCTGATTGTTTTTATGGATATTTAAATGGAGATACTTAAAATGGCAAGTCACATCACCGCGACATGTCCTTGTGTCCTCGTGAGGCAATATCGACGGATGCTGTACAATTTCACATCGATTTAGATGAGGAATTTATTTTACAAATGTCGAAACACACATACTTCGCGGATACGAACGAGTAATAAAAATATCGAATCGTAATGCAAACGAGAATGCATTTGCCGATGTGGACAATGTGTGTACATTAGTAGAGTTTTTTCATCTGTGCTTCTTTATTTTCCCTATAAAATGAAAAAAATATTACGTATCATTCTTTTTGTATGTAAATAATTGTTAAGTATTGCAATTATGTATAATTACCGATAAAGACTGTATACCAATAATATTATCATCTGTATCGCAATGAACAATAAGAACACAGTAGTCGTTAAACAATTAGGACAATCTGTGTTTTCCTGGGTTTTAACATTTTTTTTTAACGTGTTAAGTCCGTCTCGTATTTCTGTCATAAATGACTGATAATCATATCCCATTGGTTGCACCTACGAAATTTATTGATGTTAGAACAGTTTTGTGAAACTTGACTATTTTTAGATATTACAAATAATATATAAAACCTGCGCTGTCGGAGCATGTGCTTGATTATTAAGAATAGATTCAGTCTTGGAATGAACTTCTCCCATGAATGATTTAATTTCTCTAGCTGTATTCAATATGATATTTTGATTATTCAACACGGCCTCGACTTCCTGCCGACGTATTGTGTCAATCAGCACAGGTTGCTGTCCTGGTTGACCCGGAACTTGCACACCTAATTATGTATTTAGATCAAATTAAATGATATAATATTACCTTAATAAACTAGAATCTTTTGTTTATAAAATAATAATGTAAAAGTTTAGAACAATAAAACTTTTACACATAAAGAATCTTTTTAAATAATTTTTGTAACACTTGTAATCTCAGATTAAGTCTGTAATTGGCGATTTACCTCCTTGTCCAATTTGAGATACTAAACCTAAAACTCTCTCTTGTCTTCCAACAATCTCATCTAATTTCCTGTGAAGATCACGCAGAACTTCATACATCTGACTTTGTCCATGGAATATTTGCCGTAATTCTCTTTGATTCTCCGTTTCAAAATACTCATCATATTCCATCTTTTGACTTTCTGGATGCTCCCTGTTAGAATGACATATTGATATTGAAACTAGTATTGTAAAAACACAGTGTTATCACATTTGCTTACTTTTGGTATTCCTCTTTTTGTTCTTCTAATTTTTTTTGGTAGTCTAAGTATTCCTGCTGCAGTTTGGCTTGTTCCTCTGTAGAAACTTTATTTCCGTCCACTGGAAGCTGTCCGACAGGATGCAGAGAGGTAGTAAGAAAATATAAGATGTCATGGTCATCAGCCAGGCCACCTAGGCAATCAGAAATGCATAAAAACATGCGATATGCAATTACGTCGATATATCATATTTACAGGGCTGGGCATGTATTTAAAATACTTTCATTTCAGTGCAATATACAGATATTTTTGTATTTTGTATTTTAGCGAAGTACATAGGAGAGTATTATATATTTTGTGTATTTAAACACAAAAGATTAAAAGTTTTTTGTATTTTATAATTCAAATAATAAGATTAATTGTCAATCATAATATTTGAAATGCCAAATACAAATACTTTTAATCTTTTGTTATTATTACTAAAATACAAAATACAATAATCTTATAAATATTGTTTTTCAAATAAAAGTATTTCACATACATGTCCAGCTCTGCACATTAGTACTTTTTTATGCATACCAGTAGCGGCAGAAATTCCAAAATATCCACTTTTCGGTAATACAACATTGTCAGCTCGGAAACATATATCATAATCTTGTTCATTATTCGTCATACCATTATGGAACAATAGCTTGAACAGAAAGAGGCCAATCAAATAAGATGTTAAGATAAAAATAGCTAGAAAAATGTCTAGTATACTCACAGTTAATGAATTCATATAATACTCTATCCGCGCTCGTGTGGCAAATGGTTTATTGCGGAAATCTCGCAAACAGCCTGATAATTGCTGCGTAGAACCATCACTATTTAAAATGAAATAAAACATGAACTATACATATAAAACTATCTCGAACACGCAAGTTATATGTAAGTTATTAAACATAATTTACTTTATATGATCGAAAGCCTTCGTGCCGTCATTGACAATCGCCATGATGTATGGATTATTATGCTTATTGTCATTATCGAACGAATCAAAGAAAATTCCCAAGCCTGTCCAAAAATCCGAACTACCGAAAACGGAGCCATTGTAGAATCCTTTATCGCTTGTGTACCAGAATGCCAAACCATCCGCTCCTATCCTTCCACGTCCGCTTATTCGGAATACTAATTCTACCTCCCACCAGTCGAAAGTCGTGGGTTGTTTCACCCATATTGCACCTAAACAATATATTTCATAAATCTCTTGCAGAATCGTCGCAAATCGTTAATTTAATAATGTACTTGAAAAATCAATATTTTATATTCACATACATAAAAACTAATAGTACGCGAATCTCATTAAAATTACTTTTAAAGAGGTTTTCATACTATTAGTCAATAGACAGTTTATTCATAAAAATGTATAAAACGCAATTAAAATAAAATAAAATAATTACCAATGATATCTTATGCCATAATATTGTACATAATTAGATATTGTTAATTTTATATGTTACTAAGTATTTTTTAAATGACAAAATAAAAGTTATAAGATGTTTATTTGATATACATGCATCATTCATTTGACATATAATCTCGCTTTTTTTCATTGAAGAACATAAATTTCTTTCAAACTATACAGTCAGTTTAAATGAAATTTTACGAGAACAAACTGAAGTGTTTATTTTATAATTATAATGATTTTTAAATAATTATTTTATATACAAGTGTTTTAATTTAAAAAAAAAAAACTACAGAATAAGGTTATACTTTCAACATGTAATATAAAATTCTATAAATTTAAAATTAAATATGTTTGAAATAGTATGGTAAAAGTCAATGAAATTTTTTCTAGATATTATTGATATTATTAATTTTTGTATTACACATGCATATCATTGACTTGTCTTTTATTTCATCAAATGCAAGAACCTTTGTTAACTATTTATTTCTTTAAAAACTTTAAATATTGATATGTTTATATGTGACATTTGCACACAAACCTTTTTGGCTTCTAAGTGACGGTGCTACTCTGACATTTTCTGAACTAGCAATGGCATCTGCAATTTAAAACATAAGTGTTTTTACAAGAAAATGAATATATTATTATACGTTCATATTATATGTGTAATATTTATATTATATATATATATATACATACATATTTTAAATCAGATATAAAATAATATTAAGATCGTTCTTTTTTATAAGAAATAAGTAAAACATGTGTTCAATTAAGATCAATATAATACAGCAACGTTTTTTAGCATTACTATTAAATATAATACTTCTTTAGAACATTACTATCAAATATTTCTTTATAAAGAAAAATCTTCATCTATACTTTATCCTTATTATCATGTATTTTTACTTCTGTTACCATACGAAAGTATAGCATACTCTATCAATGTTCAAATGACTTTAAATAATTTTGGATAAAATTATTTGAACCGATTACAATAAATATGTAAAACCTTCATTTCGGAGAATGTAAAAACGAGAATTGCTAAAAATTGTAAATTATAAAAAGTATTTAATAATGAACCAAAAAAAGTCAGTTTTTTAAACTATCACAAAAATCATGAAAAATACTTTTATCAAAAATTATATAATCGTATTTAAAATAGAGTTAAAAATAAAAAATTAAAGGATTGAACTGTTGAAGGTGTATATTAATTAAAAACATATGTCAAAATATTCTTGTGCAAGTATTATTTAAACATATTTAATTTAAATATTAAAATTACACAATCTTTTTTATAGAAAGAGCATAATTGCTACTGCTTTTTTACATGAACTGACGACTCTAGATAGAGGAAAGTACACATTGAACATTTAACTTTTTTGCCTTCTTACATCCAGTATCTCATTTATTGGTTTCTAAAATACTGCGCAATTTTTAAATGTTCTGGGTATGTCATACCTCTGTATGGTAACTAAGGATTAATAATATTTTTATTGTCTTAAAATATTTAAAATAAATGTGTTTTTAGAAGAAAATAATTCTCTATTACATTTATATTATGTGCATAATATTTATATTATTAAATATATTTGTGAAACCAGATAGAAATATCCATATTTGTTATTGTAACTTCCGTAAAATACATATTTTAAAAGGACATATTTCAATTAATTTATTTTTCAATCAAAATGGAGAATTGATTAAGGAACAAGCCTATAAATGCATAAAAGTTGATAGAATTAAAGCTTCAAGATTTGTAGGCTCAAAGAAAAAGAAAAGTTCAGAGATACGAAAAAATCTTGATTTAGCAAATTGCACTAGGGTTTCTAGAACCCCAGTATGTATAGCTAGAGTCAAAATTGCTATCTTTGTAAGAGGCAAGTGAAACATATGTTCAATTAAAATCAACATAATACAGCAATATTTAGCATTACTAATATTAAATATTTCCTTAGAATGTTATTATCAGATACTTCTTTACACAAGAGAGGAATTTTTCTCCATATTTCAATAATATTAAACTTTTTTTTTATCACTTTCATTAAAATGTAACTTTATCTCTCTCACTCTATAATCTTCATTCTAGCGTCCAACTGAACTATTAGTAGAAAAAAATAATTACTGAATGTTATTAGCAACTCTCGGAAGCCTCTAATTAAGTGCATCGACTGCAGGGCTGTGTTCAGGAATTACACCTAGGTAACTCTAGGCTATAGTTTATGTTCTGCATATTATAATTTACGTCACATATATTATAGCAAAAATGCACCTAAGAGTTATCTGAGCATAATTCCATGAACGCACCCCAGAATTATTGCAATTCCGTGTTCCATAAACCATTCATTATTTCATTTCTGTACGAGCGAGAAGTGCGTACACATGTAGACGTTATCAGTGTTTTGATCGTTTTCAAGATAGTGCAGCGGGAAATGATGCAAGTGCGTCAGTGGGATCGAGAGTGAGACAGCAGTCACAGCAGTCGCTCGAGAACGCGAGAAAACCGCGAATGATCCAGCTGCATTGTCCAGATCGGCGCCGTCGGAGTAACATACGGAAGGTTGCGGAGTGTCGGCGTGACAGGTGTCACGATTTAGGTTATACATCTCTTTGACACGGTGCGGGAGTACTTACTTCCACCGTATTCCCAGAACGGCACACTGCCGTCCTTCTGCGCGAGGTACGGTGGCTTGAAGGAGTACTTGTACTCGAATTTCCGATGCGGCGCCTCGCCGCGGCACAACGACACACCGCAGCACACGAGGAAAACGAAAAGCCACCTTACCTCGGCGGCCATCTTCATTTCGACTAAAACAAGTGACGATCGTAGCGACGGTCAGTGACAGTGACAACACGACACAGCCGGTCGGTGGCACGCTGTGAAGTTGCTCGCGAACCCACGTGCGGTCATTGGCAGGACGCGCATAATTTCGGCCGTGCAATTGGTCCGCAATCAATGACGTGTCGCCTTCGTGGCCAGATCGGCCAGTATTTATAGGCCCATTCATATACCCATATTCATATAGTCAAGTCTTTTTAAAGGCCCTTAAGTTTATCTTCAAATGCTCTACGAGTTATTTTATTGGCTACTGAGTATCTAAAGATAAATTTAAGGAATTTTTTAAATATAAGGTCTGTCTATGAATACGCGCGCGTAGAAAACATGTAGGAAAACTTAAGACGTAAATAGAAAAACATATATGCCTGGTTTATGCTTCAGGTCTTAATCCCAAGATCCTACAATTCAACCAATAAAGCTGCCAGTTCTAACCGAAATTTAAACTCTATTGGCAGAATTTTAAGATTGATTTATACTGGTCGTAAACTGTTAACTTATGCCGTAATCTGTAAAAATTGACCAATCACAGTCGAATGAGAGGGGAATAATCGATTATAATTGGTCAATTTTTACAGATTACAGCATAAGTTAATAGATTACGGCCAGTATAATCCAACCTTTAGGATTAAGACTTAAGACCGAAGCATAAATCAGGCAATAGAAAAACTTAAGACGTAAGAGCAAAAAATCGTATTATAAAAATTAAAAAATGCTAGCCAATCAGAGTTGAAAGTTCTTGAAAATTCTTGATTATGATTGGTTAATTCTTACGGTACGTCTTACTAGTGACCCTCTAATAAGAGTCTGGACACGTGAAGTCCGCCATTATTCGTCGAAATCATAAATATACTACTTTATTTATTCCCTATTGGTGCTACCTAAGTATTTTTTGTTAAGAATTTTAAAGCATTAATTGTATTATTTGTATTTAAATTTAATTTTTATTAAAGTTTCTTAATCTTGTAATATTTTTATAAATTTTATATATTCTTAATATATTAATTTTTATATTTTCAATCTATTTATAATACTTACTTAATTGTTGTTTTTATTTTATGAAAGACATATTGCAACGTTTTTTTTACATAAAAGTTTTTATAGAAAATATTTAATAATGTTAATATAAGTTAAATAATAATAAAAATAAAAATTGTAATTGATTCTACTTTAATTTTTACGAATTTATTAATTTTTACAATTTATAAATTTAAAGAAATTTGCGGGAATGGATGATAAATGTCGGACCAATCACAAACCGGGGAGAAGGTGGCCAGACTCTTATTAGAGGGTCACTACGTCTTACGACTTACGATTACTGTCACGGAGAGTGTTGAAAATAGAAATGAAAAAATTATTTTAGAATGTTCTAATTTTTTTTTTAATGGGATTACTTTAAATAACAATTACAAGATTATTAGGTAAATTTAATTTTGTTTGTTCACATATAAGTTTTGTTAAAAAAATATACATAAAAATTTAAAAAAATATGCGGCATTATTTTACAATTCTTCATTTAAAGCTCATTCCATATTTATGTTACTGAAGTATAAATACTATTTATGACATCTGAAACTAGTTGTAATTTAAATATAAACGAAAATTGACAATACCTATATCGACCCAATCAAAACTGGCGATGGACGTGACTTTTATATTTAAGACGTTTTTGAAAATAGAAAGAACTATAAAGACTATAAATATATTGTCCCAAAGTTAATCAGTGTACACATTGATAGAAATGAATTAGTGGACAGATCAAAGCAGATAAACAATCTCAACACTAAATTTTCTGGTTTATGTGGATATGAAGTACATACATACAAACTGCAAAGTGATGAGAGGTTTGTACTTTTCATTGGATAATTTTATTTATTTTAGAGAAGCCGAATTAATTAAATTAATTGCCGACTATTTATAAAATAATTGCATTACCTATTATGAGATAAATATTTAAAAAAAACTACATACTGTATTTATGTAACATATTTAATTACGCGTGTGGCTTCTAAGTATATAATTATATTTTTTGTAGAGTAATTTACTAGAGTGTTTTGTTTGCGCAAATGGTTTAAAAAAAAAACAGAACTATATCGGAGTAGGTTTGCAAATTAAAGAGCTCTATGACGTTTTCGTACAAAAAAAGACTAGAGTGGGGACAGGAGAAGTCTTTTTTCTCCTCGATTGCGACTAATTGCGATATCGCTTTGTCACCTAGTTTGATTATCGGTACACATCAGTCGGAATTGCCATCTGGCTTGAGTCAGTGGTCGATGGCATATCCATGTGTCCAAGATGGCGTCGCTCGTTGACAACTACGAGCAGCAGTACGCCGTTCTGACAGCTGACATCACTGCGAAGATTGGCCGGATTAGGATTCAGAGTGGCGGTAAGAAACGTCGTCGAAAGGCGGTGATTAAAGGGACGTCGTGTGTCTCGCGCGATAATCGGACTGACACGTAACCGTCGCTCGAAATTGACGTTAAAGAGCAATAATCGATATGTGACGTAATTTGCAGGCGAGAAAAGAGCCTTCGTCCAGGATGTGGACCGGCAAATCGAGGAGGCACAGGAACTGGTAATTGAATTTGCATTCCCTCTTAATTAAAGTGGTGGGCTGATTGATATTGTGAGTGAGACGCTAGATATCTCGATTCCACCAACTGTCGATTGATCGTGTAACGTAGATTTAGAAGAATCATTTTGTGTTTTGCGTTTAGTTCTTCTTGTGAAAAGATCAAGATATAGTAAAGATGTACTTTACAGAATATATAAGGTGTCTCAAAGTCTAACGGACAAACTGCGGTAGCAAATTCTATAAGTGGAAATAAGAAAAGTGTTCTTTGCTATGTTCTATTGCAGAGTATAAACAAATATTAAGACAGAACATTTTGGTGACATTTTGATTGCAGTTACTATTTCACAATGTTAGAAATTTATCCAGAGAAACCGCTATTTCAGCTTAAAGCCGAGCAAATTATTTCTTGAGTTTCCGCGGCAATTTTTGTTCAACTGGAACGTGAAAGGGAGGCAGTGCCTCAAATGCTGCTTTTCGAAAATATAACATAGTTTTCACTACTATTTTTTAAGATTAGATTCACAACACCGACACCTATTATACCCTATTTTAAAGTATATGGATGACGCTTCAAAATGACTGTATGGTAAGAAAAAGGTTCAAATTTGAATAAGTTCTGTAATCGGTTGAATATATGGGTCGAGAATTAAGTAATAGACCTAATATTTAAATCCAATTTCTATCAATGTAGATTAAGACTCGAATTAGAATTTAAACGTTCACAAGGATTTATACTATAAATTTATATTAAATATCGCTAATATACAACCAGCGCTGATTCCTATAGCCTTTATTTATATTTTATACATTGTTTTTATTTTTTATTAAAAGGAGTTTTTATAATTATATATTAATTTTAAATTTATTTATCATTGTTAATTAAAATCTATTTTATTATTTTAGACTCTCTCTTTTTGCATTTATTTTTATATGTGAATTTGATCAATTTATAATACTTTTTTTCTTAAAATAAGGTAATTGTTTACTATTATCTTGAAACTTTTTAATTTCAGAGATAGACAAAAGTTCACTTTTCGTTTAATTTTAAATGGATTTTTGGTAAAATATTTATTTTATATTTGTTTATAAAAATATTCAATGTAAATATTAAAAAATTATAAAAAGAAATTTACTGAGAATTTGATTTTAATTAAATTAAAGTAACATTTAGAATTTATAAATTTTAAATAATAAAAGATTGACAGAATTAGAAACAATTATGGCTATGAGATATGTTTTATTTCATTTGCCTTTATTTAGGATGCTCCATTATATATAATATGGTAATTGTTTACCTTTACATAATCAGCCCCAAATGATCTTCGAGTGTCCTTGACCTTCAAGAAGTCCTGTAAAATTTCATTGAAATCTTTGCTTGGTACACGGAAGTTGAGCCAAAGTCACTTCGCGTGGAAAGTTGTACAATTTCAAACGGGGAGGGGGGGTGGAGGAGGTGGTGGAGTAAAAATATATATACATTATGTCCGAAAATTACATTCTATGTATGAAAATTGTTTTGTTTATAACTGTCTAATAAACATCGAGCGACGAGAACGGTTGGTGACCTTGATCTTTTTGAGGATTAAGATCAAGGTCACTCGAAGGTTATTTGGGGCTGACTGTATAAAGGTAATTTGTAATATTTATCTCAAATCAAAAATCATCTATAATTTGCAGCTGGAACAAATGGAATTGGAGGTTCGTGGGATGAACGGAATAGCACGCGACCGCCTACGCGGTCGCGTAGAGAGTCATAGAGCGGAATTGAAACGCTTGACGCAAGAATTTCAAACAGCAAAGAAACCAAAGGAGGACATTACGGAAATCACAGTGGAGGAATCCTGGGACAATAATGTAACAGAAGACCAAAGGAAAAGACTATTGGATGCCTCTGAAAGAATAGAACGATCAGGACGAACGTTACAAAATGGTTATCGTATGGCATTAGAGACTGAGGAGATCGGTTCTGAGGTGCTGAAGGAGCTTCATGAACAGCGAGAGACGATACAACGGAGCAGAGGAAGAGTAAGTTCTTTATGATCATAAGAGATTAAAGCCCACAATACACAGAAAAACCGTAAGGCGGTAAAAAGTAAACAATAAGTGAATCTGTCAATCACAATAGCATAAAGTAATAATGTAAGGAATAAAGTCTGAAGGCGATTCAGATCTTAACAGAAAGCAGAAAAGCAGTAGCCAATCAAAACTTGTGCTGGTAATAAGTAGACAGAAAGTCGAAACCAGCGATTAGCAATGCGAGTTCTAATTGGCTGTCGCTTTTCTGTCTTCTGCTTTTCTGTGTAGATCTGAATCCGTCCTGACACATACTAAAACATAAGACAATAAAGACCATTCTACAATTGCATAAACGTAAAGTTGTAAGAATTGATTAATCATAGTTGGATATAAGGAGAATGTTCAGTAATGATTGATCAATTGCAACCACAATCACTTACAACTGCGCTTATGTAATTGTATCATAAAATGAGGAGAATATTCGACTATGATTGATCAATTCTTTACGTTCTCCATTGTGATTCGCCAATTCGCTTACGTCTTGTTATCTTACGCTTTTTTTGTATGCTATAACTCGTAGCCTTTATTTAAATTATATTTAAAAAGAAAAAAGTACGAAATCGTAATGTTGTCCTTTGTTTCAGTTACGTGAAACAGATGCGGAGTTGGGGCGAGGGTCTCGGTTATTATCGGGAATGATCTTTCGGAGCCTTCAACAGAGAATTATCTTGGCAGGGGTGGCGCTGGTGCTTATAATCGTTGCGTGCATTGTGATATATTATAGTTTTAAGAGTTAAAGAGAACAGACATTTTTTTTTCTTCGGCCAGATCCACCAGATGTGGTTTGGAAGTTGTATTTATTATTAGAGACTTCAAAATGTTATTTCTATCAAATTGCGAGGTAATTCTGTATTATATCGTCTATCCAACCTTCTTGTACTTGTTTGTCACATTTTGCCTTAGGACATCAGTCTTTGCTATACGTTTATTCTTTTATTAACTTGACAAACATTAGATGACTGAATCATGATTTCTTAAACAAAGTCAGGATCTCAAGCAAAACTGGCAGAATGTCATCAAACAAGAACAAAAGACTCCGTTTAATTGTTATATAAAGTCTTGTATAAAAAAAATATTGACCCATTCCCGTAAGGTAAATTATAATAAAACGATTTTACGATTTTCGTCCAAGTTAATTAACTTTGAAATTAATTAACAAAAATTATATTGAAACACTGAATTATTACAAATGCATCATTTTCAAGTACTTTGGAAAGGATCGTAAAACCGTTTGAATTTGTTATCTGAGAATCTTGATCGGCGATTAACAGCGCGCGTTCAAGTTTCTAAAGATATTCCGAACCACAAAATATATTCAACAAGAAATGTATTTATTAAGTAATATTCAAAGTTTTCGACGTTGCGTGCACCGATTATCGGTCACACGCATTTAAATATTACCACTTCAGGGTAATATTTGAGGAAATATTACCTGTTCAAGTTAACAACTACGTACTATAATTGTTGTAATTTTGACCTGAGCCATAATCGGGTGAGTTCACTGCGACTCTACCAGTTAAAAATGCATTCTATAATTCGCCTCTTACATAAAAATAACAGTCACTGTGTACATTATTGAAATATGCGTGGGTAAGGATTGAATTGTAAATACATACATTACCGAAAATATCCAAGGACGCTTGTAATTGAGAGAAAGAGAAACTAAACGCGCCTAATAATAACTCCTTTTATTACTTGTTATGTTATCATTTACCTTAATAATTAGCTTAAATGGTGCTTTTTTTTTTATCTGCGTCCCTAATGTACCTGTGAAAATAAGAATATAATAAAAGTATCTCGCGCGCGCGCGAGAGAGAAAAGGGGAGAGGGATAGAGAGAGAGGGTTAACGCGCAAATATTCGATGACAATAGTGACTTCGGTGAGAGAACAGCAGCGAGGAAAGGCGCTTTGCTTCCATTTCTACCATCGAACGTCTTTCTTTTGCGTTCAGTGCTGGTACAGACAAACGATAGCACAATCGCTCAGTCTGGTCAGTCCAATTGTTGATAGAGATCCTCTATCTGTGGTTTAAAGTACGCTTTCAGTTGAGGCCGTTTCGATTTCAACGTTGGTGTTAAGAGCCCATTTTGTACCGAGAACGGGTCTGGATGGAGATAAATATCCTTTACCTGCGAGGCAAATAATCATGCTTTTCAAATTATCAGATTCTTCCAGATTTCATATCTATTTAAGATTTTTGTTTTCATTTGTAACAAAACTCAACTACAATCTTAACCATAAGTATAAAATACCTTCAATTTCTTACATTGTCTTGGAAGATAATAAAAATCAAAGGAGAATTAACAAAATAATGAAATTGTTATAAAAATGAATATTACTTTTCAATAAAACGGATACTTGTGTCAATTTGTGAAGGTGCTTTATATTTATAGCCAAGTAGATGAGATCAAACGAAATTTGATGTCAGAATTTTTTGGACAAAAAAAAGAAATAAGGAACGATAATATACCTGTTCAAAGGATTTCAGACCAGCTTCTTTTCCCCACGCTAACATGTCATCGAGGATTAGCTTTTTTACCTCTGGATTGACGCACAGAACGCTCAGTGTACCAGGTATGCCATTCTCCACCGCCCAACACTTAATTACATCTACGTCTGGTACTACTATTGCTATAATACAAGATTTCAATGATTCTCCATGGACGAATACTTGTTGTACATATTGGCTGCGTATGTAAATGTTTTCGATTTTCTCCGGCACGATATATTCCCCTTGCGATAGCTTGAAGATATGCTTCTTTCGGTCGATTATCTTTAACGTTCCATTCTGAAAGCAATTCAATGCATAAATATGAAAAAAATGTTATTTGTTTTAATTTATACTATTAAACTTAATTATCATTTATAATTTCTATTATTTATTTATTTATTTATTTTCCCGCTATCTTAATTATTATTTAAAAAACAATTTTAGCTATCTTTGTGATTTCGTTTTAAAATATATAATATATTTTATTTATAAAGACCTAAAGATATATTGTTAATAATAATCGTTATAAAATGTAATGAATATAATTACAGGCTGCCACATGCCGATGTCTCCTGTGTGATGCCATCCCTGATCATCGATCACCTCGGCAGTTTTTTCCGGATCCTTGTAATATCCCATGAAGACATTAGTACCCTTGACGCACACCTCACCTTGGTTGTTCGTCGCGTAGTACTCCATTTCCGGAACATCAACGAGTTTGACGCAACAGCAAGCCACTGGTGGTCCCACGTGTTCTGGCACGTGATCGCCCTGCATTCAGATGAAAATCAGAAATTAGAAATTCGAAGAACAAATTAACAAAAAAGATATTCCTATTTTCAACAGAGAATATATCTGTTAACTAAACGCGAATATCTCATAATAAATATAACATATTTATTTTAAGTATTTTACTTTAAAAATATATTGCACTTATATTAACACATTTTTACAAATGGGTGTGTGTGTTAATATTTATATTTTCAACAAACTATGTACTTATATATAATTTTGGAATTTCTTTATATACGCATGCAAAATATAGTCTCAATTTACGATCAATTATATAATCTAAATTACAGACAATTTGTTACTACTCATAAAAGATTTACAAGAAATCGTGGATATTTACAAACAATCATACATCTTACAATACGTACACATAAAGTTAGAATACTAGAATAAATTCTTACAAATTTTACCGAGAACAAGTCACAAGTCTTACGATTCTGCTTAGAATTGACCTCTATTATTAGGGGTGTGTTATGCGTAAATTTATAGGTATATCATAATTGTAATATACTACAACCCTGCACTTATTCTATAACCGCTTCCTTTCCTCTGTAGGAGCTCTTACCAAATACTAATAATAACATAATTGTTATAACGTGTGTATAATTTCTCAATAATATAACGGTAATATATAATACAATACGTAATTGTTATATTGTTGAGTTGGAAAATTATAATACTAACAGTTATGTTATTGTATTAGCATTTGCTGAGTATAAATACATATGCGCTATGTTTTATAAAATATTCAGGTATAATTATAATGGATCGATGCGGATGTTCTGAATACAATAATTTAATAGCTAATGGTCTTGTGAGATGGCACACCACGTGCCCTTGGCACATGGCTCCAAAGCTTTGATTCGATGAGCTGACAGAAATATCTAGACTGCGACGGCTTTTACCATCTATATATTTATGTCGATACTCGCGCCAAGAATAGAGAGCACGCGCATCACTTGGTTATTAGTCAGCATTCAATAAAAACATTATTTTAATTCCGCCAATCTGTCAGCAGTAAACACCTCCGTCATAATAAGTGAGAATGAGAGAGAGAGAGAGATAGAGAGGGGGGGGAGACGAATACTTTTTTTTTTAATTTTAACTATCAATGAGCAAAGAATGATTTCGTTAGCTCTAATTAACAAACAGGTAAATCGAAGCGGAGTAAATCGTTGAACTTTAGAAAGTAAACTCATTTGCGGATAATTTGAAAATTAAGTTACATAAGAGATGCGAATGCTTTTTTTTGTTGTGTAATTTCTCGCAGATTGTTAAGAATCTGCGCATTCGCGTTCTCACAAGCATAATGAAGGGTAAAGCGATATTAATTACCGGAGATTTACGCTTGGATGATTAGGGTTATGGAGCAGGGTTTCTCAAACTGCACGATGCTTTCAAGCTTCCATGGGTTTGTAATAAAAACAAAATAAGCCGTGTCATAAATTTATCTGTTGGGCAAACATAATTTTTTCACGCGGTTAATGTCGATTGGTGACAGCGCATAAATATTACTTTATAGAAATTAAATATTGCAAGGAAGTGATTATAATTACTTATTTTGAATATTAAAAACACACTTATTCAGCGCTTTTAATATTCAAAATAAATAATTAATATATATCATTCAGCATTAAATTGGTCAATATTAAATAGAATTTCTGTAAGAAAAAATCCTGCGAGATGATTTTGAAATCAAAGCGTTCAGACATAGTCGGAATTATCTATAATTTCAAGATACTACAATTGAATTATACAATTTAATGACAATGAAATATACAAAGTGTCCAAAATTTAATTGTCAAAACTTCGGGAGTGTGTAGGGAATCGATAATTAAGAAGAGAAGTCCCGTAAAGTGATGTACAGATATGCTCGTTTTGGAGAAAATCGCAAAAACGTAATTTTCATTTTTGTACTTTTTTTATTACTATTTTTATTATTTAGTATACAGTAGCCTCGATTTGATTTCTCGATTATTCTCTTGAGTGATTGACGGCGAATAAACTTCCTACTTTAAGACCCTCACACGAAGAAATCCAATAGTGTCAGATCAGATGATCGGGATAGCCAAGACACTACTCCTCCACGTCCAATCCATCGTCGTGGATAATGTTTGTCTATGTCAAGCTCGAGTAGCTCTGCCATAAATGAGCTGGACACAATTTCAGCGACTCAATAATATTTCAGTAGCAGTACGGGAACAATAAAACAACTACGTTTTGCCTTTTTTGCGATTTTCTCTAAAACGAAGCAAAAACAAGCATATCTACATATCTTTTCGACTTTTTTTCTCAGTTTATCGATCGCCTACGCGCTCTCGACATTTTGACATTTAAATTCTGGACACTCTGTATATAACAGTTGAGAAACTATATTCGAAAGATATGAATTGTTTATTGACGAATCCAATGACGACGTAAATTGGTTGATGCAGAATAAATACAATATTCAGGGGAAAAGCATCGTACGTGAGGAATTTGCGGAATTTTAACGGAGATCTATGTGCATTATGTTTGTTTCTACATAGTGCTGATTTTGTCGCAGTGCCAAAGCGGCGTTCGATAAAATGCGGCTCCCATGCTTGTTGCGATACTTGTGTGTTCTCGTTTATGACTTTAGTAGTAGAATCAATAAGAATTTTTCATATACTCTAAACACTCTCTCTCCCTCTTCTGTTTAATCACTTGTTCAGCTCAAATTTGAATCACTTTCTCTTTCGTTTTTACTTTCTAGTTGTTATATTGTTATCACATGGTAATGCTGATTTGTTTACGATATTCTTTCTTATTCTATTTATATACTTATATACATATATACCTAAATACACATATAAGTATATAAATAGAATAATATATATATATATATAGTTGTATATACATATATATATATATATATATATATATTGTATGATTTAAGCGCTTGAGGCGATACTATCGCACAATAAATGACGATTTATCTATATTTATCTCCTCTTCTTGCTCCTTCTCTATCTATCTAGTAGTATTACCCGGCTTGTTGTGCGTTATTTATCGGTGATAGTAGTACTTTACGATATAAATAAGAAAAACAAATAATGTCTATAACTGTAACAGCTACTGTATTATATATTTATTATATAAGAAAGAAATTATTTCAAAGTTTAGACGGAGTTTGTACGATGTACAGCAGGTGCAAATACTTTATTGTGTAATTTCCTATAGGTAGTTAAGAATTTACGCATTCACATTCTTACAAGTCTATTAAAAACGATTTACACGGGGCGACTTTATTCACTTCAAGCAGCGTCTAGTGACATCATTAATTTGCTAGCGAATTCACTCGACGTTTTATTCATTTGAAGCAATTTTCTTAATTCGTCAGTAAATTCGTCGACGAAAGCTTCTTCTAACGCGTTTGGTTTTTATTCGCTAGCATCTAAAATTTTGAAGTCGCAGCATTGAGAGTGGTCGTTAATGATCGAGCGAATGCTGGACGAATTTACACTGAACCAAAAAACTGTACGTAAATACAATAAGGTATTCGTTGAATTAATGAAAATTGGTCCAATGAATATCTTTCCATCGAACCATTTTTTCAAGTTTTCGGTGAATGCGGCAGCAATTTATAGCGCAATTTTCGAGGGTGCCTGGTAAGACACCCCAAATTTTTAGCACTTTACTAAAAAATCACTCTAAAGTCAGAAATTAAGTGAAATTAGATACGGCATCTGCAAACCTTTGTGTAAAAGTTCTAAGAACATGTAGCGTTTAATTTAAAACTTGATCGAGAGCTTGACGCGGTTTCATAAAAAATGTATTCGCCAAGCGTATCTACTGACTGTAGTTTGTATAAGCAGCGCTTTAACGTCTTTTATACGCGATCGAAAGGTCTCTACACGTACTCGTATCTACATTTACGTATCGTCTTTAAACATTGTTGCATAGGATGTAAACGGTCTTATAGACGTACGTCAATCACCAAATGTCCCTTGTTCTTTTTCTTCGAAGCATATGTTATGAAGAAAATTTACAATTGTATCTCAGTTTTGAGAAGATTTCTTTTAGATCCAAAAAGGAATATCAAAGAAAACAAATAGACTAAATAAAATAGATCAGAAAATGTAGTTTGTTTGAAAGACGACGTACCAATTATAATAAACAGATTTATAAAAGAAAATATATACACAAAGTATTCCAGACTTTGCTTGACATTCGTAATAATAGATTCCTGAAATAATTTCAAGACAAAGATTCTAATATCAAAATTTGAGGCTATTACAACATACAATGTAATAGTTTTTGAATAAAAAAGTTTAAAAATTAACCAATTAAACTGTTCGAAATCGCACGTTCAGGCATGGCATATTATATGTATAGTAGTGGAGGTGTTTAGAAGAATAGAACAAAAAATTGAATTGATGACCAAAAACACCTTCACTATTATGCTATATGCTTGAACGTGTGTAATTTTAAATTAGTGTTTAAAGGCTAATTTTAAACTTTACTTATTTAATAAGTTTTATATAATATTTTTGGTATTAGGATTTTCATCTTAAAATAATCTCAGGAATTTGATATTAACGGATGTCACGCGAAATCTGGGACATCCTGTATATGTAAAACGGAGAGAAAAGTAGAATGTAGGAAAGAAGAATATAGGACACTTATGTAAGATGACGAAAGAATAGGATATATAAGGTCTAAAGTACACAAAGCTTGCGTTGCGATCTCACGATTCCAGACTATCCAATTAATTGACTTGAAAGTTTTGTGCACTCTAAAAAATATCAGTGTAGATTTAACACTGTGTGGTGTCTACATTAATATTAAAATCAATATGACGTGGTTTATAATTTCTGATTATGTTATATCAACATCACTATATGATATCAATTTAAAATTCATGATGTTAAATCCACATCATGTTGATGTTAACTCTCTGTAGATGAAGTCGTCTGGCGGTCAATTGGCTTGGATAGTATGTCCGATGAATAAAAAAATTTGTAACTAGGTTACAAATTGTATATTTATTCAAAATGTTCACGTTAAAAAAATATAATCATATATTTATTCAAAATTTTAAGTTTCCAAAAATATTTATTCACAACAAACTATGATTATTTAACGATTATTCATATTTATTCAAAATATTCAAGCAAAATATAAACTAATAAAGAAAGCTCCGATAAGCAATTATTATCCTTTAACTATAATCGGAACTTTGATGATTTTAAGTAAAAATAAATGAATTTTATTTATTGTTGTTGTAATATTCAGATTTGATGAGAGAGAAAAACTTAGAAATTTTGAAAAATATTTTTGAAAGCAATACATTTTTTATTTATAAGTATCTAATTGATATGACATATAATTTTACATAAGTCTCAAATAAAGATTTGAGATAACATATAGTTTTTTTTATTTGAAATAACGTATTACTTTTATCTTCAATTTGTTTAGCTATATACCGTGTCATGTCATTAATCTGCCAGCTGGCATCACTAATGAAGGATCACTCTGTCGCTTTTAATGCTATTATAGATTTCTGTTCTCTTACAGGTTTGCAAGCTATGTACAAACAATACAGAGTAGAAGGAAACAAAAATATTCGTAATTATATTTAAAAAATATTGTAATTATAAAAAATTAAATGGAATGAAAAGGTATTTATTTGTTTCTTGATGAATAAAAAAGAAGTGTATTCGAATAGATATTTACATTTATTTTTATTCATTTATTTGAATATTATGTGTATTTATCGGGCACACTAGGCACAGAGCGGCTACTTGCTAATATGCGTTTGCAAAGAGATAGGTAATATTAATGCAGTGAGAATTGTGTGCAAACATTGCATGGTGTTAAATCGACATCGATAGTTTTTAGAGTGCAAAATCGAGTAATGAAACCCACGTAACACAGCTGCAAAGCTATGCCATAAACGCTTCTGAGCGCTTTACAGGCTGTGCTACGTGGGTTCTAATGCTCGATTCCACGAAGCTTTTCAATCGATTAATTGAACAGTACGAGGTTCCGTATTGCAACATGAATCTTTGTGTACTTTAGATCTTTATATATCTTGCCTTTTCATCTTACATGAATGTTTTGTGTATTTCTCGCGCTCGTCTCTTTGTATTTACATATTTCATTCTATAAATTTCGTATAACACAACAGCGTCTGTCAAGCTTTCAGAAAGTAATGCTTGCGCAAGTGACATAGTACGGGGTCTACAGAAGTCGTGATGGTCGTACAAGTTTAGGTCGTAGAATATTGACCAGTCATAGTCGATTATTCTTTTTATATTCAACTGTGATTGGTTAATTTTCTACAAGACGCTACAGTTATACGACTTCTATTGTAGACTTCGCAAACGTTAATACGTGGAAATTAATATTTATGTACTTTCTAAAATCTTTGGAGTGAACTCCAACTTGAAAAGGTGAAATCTCACTCTTAAAGATTGACTATTAAATCACTCTTTTTCAACACTAGTTCAATTGTCACTCTTTAACATTCTTTAAAATCAGATTCCACTTCAATAATTTTAGGGATTAAAAATGCGAGCAGTTCCGAGGATTAAAGATTGATTACTAATATAGTAATATACAAACCTGTATGGTAAGCGTTATTGGCGCGGTGCACTCTGTCTGACCGTAGCCTTCGACTACGACGCAGCCAAGGGCGCACCTGGTGAACGTGAGGACGTTTCCCGCCAGCGGCGCGGAACCTACAAGCATTAGCCTCAGCCTGCCACCCATCGATTCCTGGATCTTCTTGAATACAATCTTGTCCCATATGCTGTTCATTCTCACAATGCTCTTCTTAATCTCCGTCTCCTTTGCTCGCATACCCATATTGAAGATCATCCTCTTCAGAAACGAGTTTTGCAGTTCAGCTTGCACCTGCAAACGTCGAGTGAACGAGGATGAAACTCACCGTTAAGTGACGCTATGCAAGATCCATGTTATAAAATAATATTTAAAATATGCAATGCTACATATAAAATATGTGTAATATAAAATATGTAATATAAAATATAATATGAAATATTTTCAAATATGTTATAATAAGAAATAACAAAGAAAATAACATACCCTGGTAAAAAAAAGTTTCGCTGAAATTATTTCACATTTCGGAACATTTCAGTGAAATTGCTGAAATTGAACAAAAATTTCTTTGAAATTTTGTTAAAATTTTGCTGAAAAAAAAGTTTTCAACTAAAAATCGTTGAAATAAAACTGAATTTTTTTCTAAAATACGGAAATTTCGTGGAAAAGTGTTCCGAAACGTGGAATAATTTAAATTTTAGCGAAATTTTTTATCAAATTAAAATAATATAATCTATGAGTAAATATAAAACTAACAACATATATGCATAATACTAGAAATCATATTTTATATGATTTCTATTAGATATCTTATTATTATATTAGTAGCTTCTAGCTACTGTCACACTACTACTTCATTAAAATCTAAATTTAAATATATGAAATGTGCTAAGTGATGTTTGATATATTCCTTCACATTAACGAGCGTAATGACTTCTTCCGTGTTAAAATCGTTGCAGCATCTTTTGATATTATATTTAGACGGGTCTCATTAAATATTTTTCTTAATATAAGCGGGTTATTATAAGGCAAAGAAAAGTCTGAACAGTAATGATCCAGTTTGATATCAATGGATCCTGTCAACAAATTACCGGCGAGTGACGATAAATAGATTTACGTCACAGATTTTCAAAGTCAGCAGAAAGAAAGAGAGTCAAATGGGACGAATTATCCATCCTTCCGTTGTCTTTTGTCAAAGTGAAACACGATGACGGGTCTCTACTCTCTACGTGACTTGTCTATCAAATTTTATGCAAAGTCAGCATATAAGCGACCGGTGCTTATCCGCCGCACCTGTTACGCGCGTCATCGCGCACGTGCGCGCCGAAAACGTGTGACCGCGCTTCTTGGCTTCGTCCCCAAATTTCAGACGCTTTTTAAAGCTTAGAATTTAACGAGAGAGCTGTATTGCGCGACACGAAAACATAATTCAATACCACGTTTGCGACTTTTCGCGCGTGATGGAGCGCGTGCTTCATTCAAACAGAGAGAGTTTTACATTGTTCGGAATCAATTTCAAATCTATTTCCTCCGTTTTCGTGATGAATACAATGCCTAACTCTCAGCGAACATCCGTATTCCGTAGTATTTGAATTCTCGGGAAAAAAAGATACAAAATCTTTCTATTTTTCGGGTATGTTAAGTTAGCATCCCAACTATAGTACTCAGGAGTTCTGATTAGAGTTCCCACTTCCTTTTGACGAGACGAAGAGTTCCCTATAGTTAATAACAAGAGTTCCGCTCAATAAACATTTTTTTTACATTTTTTAAAAATGGGGTGCTAACTTTTTATCGAATTTCGAGGTGGAATAGTTCTGAGCGACTTAATAGTTTCAATTTGCGATTGTCTAGAGTTAGAACAGAATTACTCGGTACTCCCAAAAAATTTTCCGACGTGGAACTTAAAAAAAATTTTTGGTCAAAAATTTTTTGGGAGTACCGAGTAGTTCTGTTCGAAGTTCTGGACAGATCTCGGTGAGTTCTGTCGAAAAGTATCAGGGCTCAAAGCGATTGGACCAATGGTTTCCGAGATATACTCTAAAAATTGTTGATCTTCTGACAAATGTCGCTGTATCTTGCAAACCGTTGGTCCAATCGCTTTTCCACCTTACAGTTTTCGATAGAACTCGTCGAGTACTATAAGAAACGTAACTCAGAACTACTCGGTACTCTCAAAAAAATTTTCAAAGATTTCTACTATTTTTTTTAAACTTTATTATTCTTCAAAAATGTTTTTTATGTATCAAGAACTCTAGGTATTCGCAAAATACTTCTGTTAAGCTGATCAGAACTATGCGACCTTGAATTTCGTTAAAAAATTATCACCCCATTCTAAAAAAATTATTAAAAAATGATTATTAAGCGCATATGTCATTAAAAATCATAGAGAACTCTTCGTATCGTCAAAAAGAAGCAGAAATTATCATCAGAACTATTGTATCTAAAAATTAATTTTTCAAAAATTTTTAATTTTTTTTTTATTATTCGAAAATTTTTTTTACATATCAGGAACTCTAGGCAATCGCAAATTGAAGCTATTAAGCCGCTCAGAACTATTCCACCTCGAAATTCGATAAAAAGTTAGCACCCCATTTTTAAAAAATGTAAAAAAAAAGTTTATTGAGCGGAACTCTTGTTATTAACTATAGGGAACTCTTCGTCTCGTCAAAAGGAAGTGGGAACTCTAATCAGAACTCCTGAGTACTATAGTTGGGGTGCTAACTTAACATACCCCTATTTTTCACAAAAATTAATAATGCAAATTAAAAAAAGTTGAAGTTAAGAAAAAATCACTACATTACGTTTTCTCAAAACTATTTCTCATGTACGGAAAAACAGTTTTAAAAAAGCTTTAAGAAATATCTAAAAATTTAGCTATATACATATAGTTTTAAAAATAATTTTGTTGGACAACATAATTATGCACTGTTAAATATTAAAGAATCGAATTTAACTTCTTAAGTTAAATAACTTTTGTTATTTTTAATTTCCAAGTGTGTTATTTTAATACAAAACATATGATTAAAGACAATCACGTCAACTTATTTTTATGGTTGAATTATTATATTTAATTTTAAAGTAAAAACGCCAACTATATTAATGTATTTAATAAATAATAAATTATAGATACTTGAGTTAAATTAACTTTTGAGTTAAATTATTTAACTTCTAAAATTAAATGAACCACATACAATTTAGCAGTGACGATCTATAAGAATAATTAAAAATAACTCAAATTGAAGATAATTTGACATTATGAATTAAATAACATTTAGCGTTGATGAAAATGCTGCAAAAAGTTTTAACATTTTAGCAATTAATTTGAACATCCTAGATAATTATTTTAATGGTCCAAGCAAAATTATTTTCAAATTTATATACATTTAAAACGTACATATTTATAAATAATATAACAATTCAATATCCTGTAAACGTACATGTAATAAATGCTACAAAAATTGTCGCTATAAACTAATTTTACATACATGTTGGCGTGTTGAATTACAATAGATGGAATTATATATCCAGTCTAAATTGATAGAAGCTCAGATATAAAATTATGTTTAATTAAATTCTTCGATTGTTGTCGAGAATCAAGCTTTGTTAAGATGTCGTAAAAATCAATAATCAATTAGATTATTTCTTCACCCAACTATTGTATTGTTAATTTATACAGAATAATCATGATTGCTTCTCCATTTGTGAAATGATTATTAGTTGCAAAGAATTTGGAATAGACTGTTTTAAAGATTATATATATAGTAGGAGATATATATTAATCACTGATAAAGACTTTGTAAGTCGAAATGTCCGAAATTCAATTAATGTATTAAAACGAATTGATTTATAATTGAACCGTTATAATTTATTCGTTATAAGTCTTGATATCAATTTACATTACGTAGAAATAATTTCAATTATGTAAACAGAAAAAAGTATACGAACTATTCGAAATCATTTACGATTTTAATAAATCACTCCGATGCTCACAGACAAATACTTGGAAAAAGATAACGCTTACAATATCGTCTATGAATATAAGCCATGTAATATAAGAGAACAATTGCTCGCAGCCATTTTAAGTCGAGAAAAAACGATTGACGACTTAGTACGATTGACGTAATAACACCCTACGACAATTCTCCGGTTTTAAAAATAGGCGAAATACGCAGTCATCGAAAGCGCGATGGATTATCTAATCGGGAAAATCAATATATACGATGAATTTAGAATGTAACTTACGACATTTACCGCTTATATGAGGTGAAAACTTACATAATGTTACATTATGTAAATAACATTTTAAGGAATCCTATTACCGCGATTTAAGCAACGACAGATGGACTCGTTAACATTTTTAAGATGTTATAGTGCGAGATGGACTGTGAACACATTCATCACGTAATCCAGTCGAGCAAGTGTAAACTAAAAATAAAATATTACAGATCGACACAAAACGCACGCGGACAACAGCAATAAACCACTTGAAATAAACCGCGATGATAAACAGCAACGCAATTGTACGATTCAAATACGAGGCGATTTCCGGATTTAATCGACAGACGCGGAAAATATTATACGTACTTCACGACAAACGGATGTTCTTTTCGTAAAAAGTCATTGAAACATTATTTATTCATCCGTATTTTTCTTGATTTTTGCGGAAGACCGTTTTTTTTTTCGCGTTTTTTGGTTTCTTTTTATTTGTGAGTAGTAAGAGAGTTTAAAAGTTAACGCGTAAATAAATGAAATATAATGAAAAACGTTTTCTATTTGTATATTAAAAACCGTTTGCGTATTAAAATGTTTGCGTTCCATTTTTAAGGTATCCGAATCTTAATATAATGTTATTTGAACATTTCAAATTACGTTGTTTAAAAAAAAAAAAACACGTACTGACTTGAAACAATCTGTGTTACGTGATTTTTTTTTAAGTAAGAATTACATTGTTGTATAGTATTATAACATTGATGTTATGTTACTGTTAGTGTTTACTGAGGTGCTGCCGATAAGAATCTCCATGACTCACCTTGTCGTATATACGATTCAGCAGCCTGGGCACAGCCGGCATGACGGTAGGCCGGAGGGCTTTCATGTCGTCGGGCAGCTTCTTAATGTCACCGCTGTAGAATCCGACGGAACCACCCATCATGTACATGCTGTTCTCGCAGCAACGTTCCAGCATGTGCGCCAACGGGAGGAAGCTGATCATTATGTCCTTGGACGTGATCCCGTGGTCACCCAGCTGCATTATCACCGCGCAATTAGACGCCATGACGTTCTGGTGTGACAGCATTACGCCCTTCGGGTTGCCAGTGGTGCCGGAAGTGTAGCATATCGTGCAGAGATCGGACGGCTTCGGCGGCAGCTCCGGATGGTTCCTCTGCGCGCCGAGGCGTTCAATGTCGTCGAACTTGTACAGCTCGATGCCGCGGTTTTTCGCCCGTTGATTCGTCGCCGGCCGCGTCTCCTTCACCACCACCAGCTTCCGCAAACATCTGTCGGGATTGAAGAATCTTTCAGACGGTGAGAAAGAGAGAACGCCGCTCGTGATTCCTCAGCCGGAAACGCTCCGCTTCATATCGCTTAAATTCTTGGCAGTATTACAGATTGATACTTTCAACATCACGCGCTTTTTTAAAGCTTTTTTCGAGGGCGGCCTTGAGAGTGGTTTTCTCTTCGAGGAAATCGACGCTCGGAACGTGTGGGCTACATATGTATATATGGCTTCCGCATTGCGTCGTGTGAAAAAAATTGTTAAAAAACAACGGAGCCTATATATTTGTCAAAAACATGTAATGTATTCAGTTCTCAATTCTATTTCACTTAATATTGTTTATCGCACATTGCCTAAAAAAGACCTTCCTCATTTCTATATACTGGTTATTGTGATTAATATCATCGCACATGCTTCGACGGTCGAATTGGAAGAACGCCCGTACAGAAATTGAGAGACTGATTCGCGAATCCCGACTGAAGTAATGTTTTTTGCAATAAGTTATATATTTACAGGTTTTTAATCCTAAAGTCGTCTGTATTACCGACTAAATCATATCATTTTTGTATCGCAAATACTTTCTTGTCAATCACAGATTCGAAAATCCTTTTCCAGGATTAAAGTCGCATTATTACGTGCCTGTGAAGTAGAATCTATATACTGAAGACGACAAAAAATGTCGAAATTGAGTTCTCCTTTACCATTTCTTAGTCCAATATGGGACTCCAGAGTCGTTGCACATCGTGACAACATTTACTTCATATAAAAATTATGCGATCTGTACTTATGAAATAGTAGTCCACAAGCAAGTAGTTTGCGTGAAGAAATAGCGTGGAGTTCTTAAAATTGGATTCAGATGTCTAATTGAAGCGTAATTACGACAAAAAGATTTATGTCTGTGTAGCGTGCGTGAGTGACATATTGATGTAGTGATGTGTCAATGAATGTAATCGTCTGTGTAAGCGCTATTTCTAATATAACCAATATTTAGGATTCCATTAAAGTTTAAAGTATTATAGTAGCGTATTATTATTAAATCGACGATTAATTAATTTAATTGTGAGATTGTGATATTTTAATTTATGATTGTGTTTTAAGTCTGATAAATTAAATCGACACACAATCTATAGAAGTGATAATTGTATTTGTATATTCACATATATGAATGTTATACTAATCATCAAGATCCATTTTGACCGAATATATGGTTTTCTTCCCTCTTATAATATTTAAAATGTCATTGTTAATTTGGTAATGACAGAAATATATGTATTTTTTTTAAATAAATGAATTTGCGACATATAAGTTTTCTTTTACGGATATTACACACACGAATGTTAGATTATAATAGTTCTTTGTAATGATTTTCTAATCACTTAAGAGAGAACCTTATGTATTAATTTAGAACATGTGTGTTTTACACATAAATTATTCGACGTTATCGTAAAATCAATATTTTGGCATATTAAATTATGCACTACATTACAAGTCCTTTTTATCGACATGCTAAATTAAGCGGTATTTAATTCTTAAGCGCGTGACTTCGTCAATAATCGATAACGTAAGATAGATCAGATAAAATAAAGAATATTTGTATGTCGCTTGCAAATTTTTTTTTTCGGTGTTTTTATGTTCTATAATGTTTAAAGTGCGTTCGATAATTTTTGTGATTTTAAGGAGCTAAGCTAAGAGAGAGAGAGAGAAAGAGAGTATCTCGTAGCGATAAGCGCAGGATACTTTTAAATTAATGATCATGAATGATATTAAGAATTATGAATGATATATTAATGATTATTATCAACGATATTAATGATTATTAAGAATAATAAAGCAATTAATTTGATGTAGTGGTCAAAAGACGTTTTCTCCATGTGTTTCCAAGGAGATTAACGTCACCACGTACCTCGGCGCTTTGTCGAGGAGCAAATTGCACTTTTGGTCATCTTCACATACCACCAGATTAATGTCAGCCTGATTTATGATGAACGCGCAAGCGTCGGGACCCAAGGTATCGTACAATGGCACCACTACGAGCGAGTACGAATAGCATGCCTGCTCGGTGAGAATCCACTCGGGACAGTTCTGACTGTACAGGCCTACTAAGGTTTGCTGACCAGGGGTCAGCCCCAGGGACACTAGGCCGGAACCAAAATTCTTCGCCCTGAGCAACGTCTCGTTGTAATGAAGCCATTGGTATGGTTTGTTCGGCCCGTCTTTCCACCCCAGACAGGGACCGTTATCTGCGAATTAGAAGAATGTTTATATATTCATCAAGAAGAATAATTACTTTAGACTGCATTAATTAACAATAAGAAAAGTGTCGAACGAATCACATAGGTGTGATTCAATTTCTTATACATCAAATTCTCATGACTAAGTTTTTTTCATTATTTGTAAAATGCTCTTCCCTCCCTCACGGTAAACCACGTCTTTCGGTTTACACTTAAAAAATTTGATACTGATCAACCTGCTCAGTTTCTAAACTCACATCTACGTTTTAAAAATTTCAAAAATTTAAATTCATAATCTATTGAAGGATATCTTTACATCTATCAATTCTTGAGTGGTCTTATTTCTTATATATTGGAGAAGAGTTTTTATTTCTTAATTAATTTGTAAATACTCATTCACTGATGAAGACTCAAAACGGAGTCAAAATGTATGAACCTCCTAAACAAATTTGTTAGTCCATCAAATTAGAATGTTTAAATTAGTCGCTAGAAAAATAAACATAAATAAAAATGAGCATACAGTTTATACATACATACTGTATGCTCATTTTTATTTATGTTTATTTATCATTGAGCCACCTTTTCACATTTTCATTTAGTTGCTAGAATTGTAAAATTTTTTTACAGAAAAAGGTCACCAAGGTATCATTTCACTTTAGAATAATATTTCTTTAAAACAAGCTGACAATAAAACTTTAAAAACATAAATACAAACTGTAAGAAAATGTCTTTCATCAAATAATATAACAATTTTTATAATGCGTCCCGTGTCACTTCCGCTATTCTCGGAACAACCAAAGACGCGTCCAAGTTGATCTAGGACAGTGAAGAATTAGCAATAGCGCGTATACCGGACAAATATCCACAAAATTTCCTCGTGACCACCAGGTAAGCGGTCCATTTTCAGTAAAATTATCAATCTTCGGACACATCTATCGTTATTATTCGTTATCGCCGCCGTCGTTATAGATCCCGTAGAGAGCTTGCAACGACAGGTGTCGGTTACGCGGGCGTGAGTTACGCAGCGTGGCAAAAATAAGAGATACACACGGGACTAAAATAGAGACTGTCAACCTTCGTCGGAAAGGTCGTCGAATCGCCAACGGAGACGAAAAGGTAAATCGCCGCTATATTCCGCGTCGATAATTCGCACCGTAAGTTGGTGCGCTCGTTAGAAAGCTATACACGCGCGCGCTTGTTTATTTCGCTTTATAGCGCAACCGTGCCGCGTCGCTTGCCAAACTAGCCGCTAAATCGACACACGCAATTGCGAATGTCGCGGGTGTACGGACATTCGCGTCAACGCCAAGATTGCTTCCGCAGATCTTTTCTGTAAAAATTACATGTTAATTGGCTACACATTCCTGGGTCCAAAAAATCGGACCGAGGTCTAGCATTGTGGACACAGGACTTTACGCGCGACTGGCGGATTTGCAAGATGTTCCCTGCAGCCACGTATTGAATATTAGTTTTTTCGATCAACATTAAATACCTTAACACATTGAATAGGCGTGTGAAATATTAATTAGACTCTCATTTGAATAAATGATGAATACTACAACATTTCTAATATTTCTCATTTCTATATAATTTTTAAAGGAAACTTACAAAATTCGAAAAATTTTACAAATTAAAAAGAATATTACAAGAGATAATATCAGAATTTTATTCACCATATATGGAAAGAACGTTTTTGCGAAAATATCTAAAAATTTAGATATGTACAGATCTGAAAATAAATTTTGTTGGTCTATTAAAATATTATAATTAAGCAAAAATTTCAAGCGTATAATAAGTAATACTGTTAAAAGTTTGATATCCTAGGAATTAGTTTGAGCATCCTATAGTATAATTATTTTGAGCAATAAAATTATTTTCAAATCTGTATTTACATAATAGCTAAATTTTCAGATACTTCAACAATTGTCCTTTTGGTATAAGATCTGAAGATAATAAGGCTGTCATGATTTTACCTAACCTAAAAAATCTTTTAAGTTTTTCGAGAGTTTTGCTCATTTAAAAAATCCAAAATGTGGGTTTTTTGAGATTTATTGGATTTTATTGGAATTATAGAAAAATTAATTTTTTTTTATCGAAAACAAAAAAGTATTTATAAATATTTAATAAATATATATGTATACCGAACTATTTGAATATTTTTCTGTTTAATATCCAAATAAATATTAACATATAATTCATAGCATATAATGTCATCATTTCTTTCTTTGCCTCTTATATAAATTTCTTATATCTAAAAAACTCATTATTAATATTTTTATAAAATATACACGTATAATTAATTTTATTTAAGTATACAATTAAATAATAGTAAATACAACGTAAACTAAATATATTAAATAAAAAATATCAAATAATCAACTTTATTTAAAAAAATTTCAATAAAATTCAATAAAACTCCCAAAATATCCATTAGGCTGGGCTTTTAAAAAGAAAAAACCTGATGGGTTTTTTTCCAGCTCTGAAAGATAAGAACTTACTGGACTCCTTGGCACCGCGACGAAAGCCTTCGTACAGGGTACGGACATCCTCGTAAAGAAACGTGACGAACTTGCCCTCCTTGCAGAATTTGGACATCCGGATGTGCTCATTGCCCTGCGAAGAGACGAAAAGTCGCGTGAAAACACATCCGGCGCACGCTTGTTACGTAATCCCGAATGTGCGGCAAGTGCGGGACTAAATTTAAATCGGGCACACGCACACGCGTATATCGATGTGTCGCGTGCGGAGCAGCTGATCACGCGGCGGGATGAAAGGGCGCAGGTAAAGGGACGGCCGCGGCGTTATACATATGCATGTTTCCTATATATCGATCTCTCCGCCACCGACCGACGCGGACGTGGGTTTCATCGACGTGCTTCTGCAACGACGACGTCGAACCACCCACATTCCCGACGCACACACCGTTCGCGAAACGTCCCGTATACAAGGAGTCATAGAATTACGAGTAGCGCATGTATCCTTGCAGCGTTTATCGCAGCTTCTCTTTGCGTTGAAATATCCATTTCTTCAGTCAGAAGTGACGAGAAGTGGATCACTTCTTACTCTCTATAAAATTTTTGGAGTGAAATCTAATTCTGAAGAGTGATAAAGAATGATAATTTAAAGCTCAATTGTGAATGATCAATTAAAGCTCAATTGTCAATTTTAAGAGTAAGATTGATTTCACTCTTTAGAGTTAGATTCTATTCCAGGATTTTAAAGAGTAGGAACTAGATTCACGAAATGCGAGTATTTGGATTTTAAAGAAAGCAACGTTATTGCGAGAAAATATTTTCGACAAATTGCTATTTAAAATCATATTTTCGAACGACAGATTAGAAATAACAAGCACCTTATTTTTCTCAATTTAATGAATATAATATCTTGTTTGTGTGTTATGCAAATGCAGGATTGAAATTTATGTTTTTTAATGGTTCAGCTTCTGATTTATTCGTGATATAAAATATTTAACAAAAAATAAGCGGAATATATTATATGTAATATATGTAAATAAATAAATATTATCTTTATTATATATATATGTACATATATAATACACACACATATATGTATATGTATATATAATTATTGCATAAAGTGTAATGTCTGTATATTGTGATGTGCTACATTTTACACTTTCATTATCAAATGTTCTTAATGACTGTATTCTTACGTCACATTCAATAATTATGGCATAACTAGTATACATATAATTGTAAACGAGCTCCGTAGTCATTTATTATCTATTTAAATAGCAGTTAGTATTAAGTGCGATATGAAACGTAACATTTTATATACTGTGTGTTAAATTTAATATTGTAAATTATCTAAAAAAAAAATATATCATAAGTTAAACTATATTTACACTAAAACATTAAATGATACGAACATTAAGACTTTAAATGATACGAATAATTTGCATTCCTCTACTGTAAATTGCATCTAATTCTTATATTGATCATTGTAAATTATACTTCCGAACAAAATTGCGTTCAATTATATTTAATTAATTGTTTAATATACAAGAGTGAATCAAATATAAACGAGAATTTCTTTAAAAAGTTTTTTTCATATGAAATAAAAAATACAAAACATTTTTTTTATTTTTCTACATAATCTCCTGATTTGGAAACGAATTTTCCCCGTCTGACTGAAAGCCTTTTTATGCTGTCATTATAAAAAGAAGGTGAACGTGTTGTGAGCCAATTGCGCACGAAGGCCTCCACTCCTGCGTCGTCTGCAAAACGCTTCCCTCCCAACGCCTCTTTCGGGGGTCCAAACATGTGAAAGTCACATGGACTCAAGTATGCGGTCCAAAAAAGAGTCCCCTTCTATCTTGTATCGATTCAGAAGCCGTAGGCAGTTGTCAAGACAAATATTTTTCTGCTGCTCTGTGAAAAGACGCGGGAGCCAATAACACTTTTCTGTATCCCAGCTCATCAGAGATGATTCTTTGGATACTGCCATAATTATGTTCAAGATGAGCAACAATTTCAGCAATTGTAATGCGTCGGTCGGTCTCCAGAAGGTCACGAATCGCATGAACATTGTCTTCCGTTAGATTCCTGGGACTGCGATCGTGACTCTGATTTCCGACTCTCTCTCGTCCTCCAGAGAAAGTCTTGGGCCAAAAGAACACACGGGCTGTGAGAGGGTTGATTCTCTGAATTATTAGCGTAATCTACGGTGAATTTTAGCAGACCGAATCCCCTCTTTCATTAGAAATTTAATTATGATCCGTTGCGTAACGGACGGATGAACCTCTTTCCCGCTCAACTTTTTACGGATTGCCGTACCGATCCGAGAACGCTCTCAGGCTAAAAATCTCCTCCTAACATCCCCATCACATCCTTAACGTTGTATCGTGCTACTTTATCTGCTCTAGACTCCAGAGCGAAATTCTCGTTTATATTCGATCCACCCTCGTATATATATATATTTATATTTAAACTAGGAATAGATTTCTTTAAGTGACGTAAAATCGTTTCTTATGAGTACGCATTGGGATTGAAATGATAAACGGGTGTAATATGTAAAAAACGGAGCTTAACAACGATCGTTTGTCTCCTTCAAAAAACAATAAAATGCGTCCAATCATAGCGCATTGCTGATTTGGTTTCTGCAATTCTTGTCACGAAACGCACTTGGACGACCCACTTATAATTTCACGAGAGAAATAGTCGCTGTTACCAAATATCGAAATGCAATTTCCGCGAACTTCAAGAGATAAACGAAAATCTCCGTGGAGATTCCTTTATTTTACGAAGAAATTTATAATTTGCGAAAAACACAGTGTTCTATTGAGTTTTTACATCAAAGATTCGATTATGTATCATCCAACTTGATGAAAATTACAAAAATGAGCAAATTCATTAGAATATTTATATGGAAAAAACATAATTTTGTCGAAGTAACAGAAAATTTAGCTAAATACACATCTGACGATAATTTTGTTGGATTATCAAAATAATTACGTAAAAAATTTAAGCATGATAAACAATGCTGCAAAATATTTGAACATTCTAGGAACCAATTTGGACGTCCTATAATTATTTTAATAGTCCAACAAAATTTTTATTTTCAAATTTGTATATTAAGTTACGTTAAAGTTTATATACTTCAGCAAAATCGTTTTTTCAGTATACAATTTTACTGGTCAATATCTAATGTACTCATTTCTACAGTTTTTACTTTGTTTCATAGATGACGATACACAATCGACCTCTAAATAAATAAGAGGACAAACCGCCGCACGTAATTACGCGACTGCGAGAAAGCTCCCTTTCCAAGGAGGCCACTCCACCTTGAACATATCGGACTGATTGCCGAGGTCTATCGGCGGGTGGATCGGCTCGTGAAGAAAACAGCTCGACGACATCCTGGCACGTGCAGCACGTAACACGCACTTTTAACGGGCGCGCACCCGCCGCCGAGTCACGCGGGCTACTCTCGAGATCGACTGCTCTTACACGGGATACAAAATAGATCGGACCAACCGGACCAACGTTCCCGCGGCCACTGAATTCAAATCGAGCTTGTGACCGAGCTTTTGGCCCGCAGCGCGAATGTTACGCGGATGATGCTGCTCGCCGCGTGCAAGAGATGCATGCCGTCGTATACTGTCAGTATCACCGACCACCTCGAGCATCTATCTGGATAATGTAGGGGTAATAATTCAACTCTGGAAATTACTGCTAACCTGCATGGGTAATTGTTGAAAATTTCTGATGCGTATACTGTTAAATTCATGATACCAAATTACACACACACACACACACACACACACACACACACACATACCTAATTTGAGTTATTTTTAATCAGTCCTATAGATCGCCACTGTTTTTACTCGGTATGTTATTAATTTACGTAAAACAGAGTGGACCTGAACAATTTAAATCAAGGAATGTATTAAATTTGACTCAAATTTAGTTTACTCTTTACTAAATGCGTCAATGTGTATGTGCGAACGCTGTTTACTGTGAAATTAAGCAATTCTATCAGAAAAATGGGTTGATTAAATGTGGTTGTTCTTAAACATACATTTTGTGTTAAAATAATACACTGACACACTTGAAAGTTAAAAATAATAATATATGGTATACTTAACTTAAAGTAGTGGTTTCAATTTGACAGTGTCAATTAGTTTAACAGTGTAAATTAAATTCAAACATTCAGGTAATATTTTCATCATACTTATACAGAAAATTTTCTTTCGTTTCTAAATAATTATTTTAAATCTTGAGAGCTCAATTTATTTTATATTACTGAAAATTTTCTTCGTTTCTAAATATAATTGTTAAATTGAATAGAGTTTTCTTGTAACAGTGTATTTTTTATTATAATAGAAACTAAATATTGCTCTAAGAGGCTCATATCTAAAATATCAACATAAAATATCAATTTTCTTCATTTTTGAATATATTATATTGTTAGATGGAATAAATTTTAATTTTTTTTATCACTATTTTTTTTATTAAGTATAATGGAAGCTAAATATTGCTCTGATAGATCTTTCAAATTTCTACAAGGAAGCTCGTACCTAAAGTATCAACATTTTGCATCTATTAAAACCATTTTAATCTACTGCTTTGTTTTACTATTCTGTAATATTTCTCTACTATTATAATAAAATCGAAAAAATTTTTTATAAATAAAAATTACATCTTTCGAGGTACATGTAATTTTGCAAAGAGATTCTGTGGCATAAATCGTACAAAAATAACCCCATTTCTCACATTTTCGTTTGCATATACTACTTATATTTCGTATATCTGAATTCAAATTTTGCCTATAAATCAAACTGTATATGATTTTGACTGTAAACAGCATAAATGTACGTGTTTGTTTTCGAAAGATTATAAATATTTATTTATCTCTTTTAAAAATTGAGATTGATCAAATGCAATCCGACAAATTCTCTGTCGTATATGCTTTTACTCAAAAGATTTATAATTAAAATAGAACTGCGTAAATCACGCCGGTGTGTCTAGTTTATATTGACAGTATTAACACGAGATCGGCGGCCATGCTTTGTGGGAAGATCTTCAACTTAAATATAGTGCGCCAGCCGAGCGTCGTCGCCCTCGGTTCTCATCGTCCAAGAGTTTTGG